TTGTCCATGTATGTTTTGTGTTTGTTGTAAAAATAAAAAAATATTAAAAAAAAAAAAAAGAGATATAATGTTCTCAGTATTGTCTGCCTTTTCCACCAAAACAACGTTACATTTCTGAGTTCTAACCTGAGTGCCATTGTTTCCTTCTTTGAGATGTAAGGGTGGCTGTACTCAGGGACCAAAACTGAAATATGTATATATTCAACTCATGTAAGTGTGACTCTGCATGGCCTACATCAGTAAAAGCAAAATCACAATTAAAATGAACAATATCAACAGGAAGAAGCCAAAATCAATATAATAACAGCATACAGCCACTTCCTAAAAATCACTTTGGCCCAATATCTGGGCGAAAATGTTTTTATAGCTTTCCTATAGGCTAACAGGCCAACTGAAAGACATTTCCTATTACCTCACTAGTCCATATAAAAGAAAACAATCATTTAGATCTATGGAGTAGTACACAACTCAGTTGAATATATATTGGTTTTATTTGCAGATGACATTCTTTTGTTCATTTCTAAACCTCACACTACTATTCCAGTGTTGATGCAAATGACAGATGCCTTTCTATCTATCTGTCTAAGTAGCAGGATACTCTATTGACTGGTCCAAATCGGAATTGATGCCAATAGGTGAAAACTTGGTTTCCCTTTCATTTAAGGAATATCAATTCTGTATTCATACCAAATCAATTAAATATTTAGGTATGTGTATACCAAAGGGTATAACTCTGTTAGCAACACGTAATATAAATGAAATATATAGAGAGGTTTCTTCAAATATCAATAGATGGGAGTCATTAAACCTCACCCTTTGGGGAAAGACGAATGCTCTCAAAATGAACATTATTCCCAGATTCATTTATATTATGACAGGAATTCCAGCTTTTATATCTGGAAAATATTTTTAGAAAGTAAATTCTTTGTTTAGAAAATTTCTATGGGGTTCTTCAATTCCAAGAATACCTTTACAGAAAATGCAATTATCAATTAATGAGGGAGGATTCGGTCTTCTGCAGATGTTAAGGGATGAGTGGAATAAAGAATTAAATGCTTCTATACTGCCTAGACAATGGGTGAGTGTCTTAACTTCTATGGCAAGAGTATCAATGGATCTCAAACTACGACTTATACAACAAAAAATAATATTTAGAATTTATTGGACGCCACCTCATCTGTATAGAAAAGGATTGTCAAAAACGACATTTTGTTGGAGATGTAATAAGGACAATGCCTCTTTAAAACACACGTTTATACAATGTCCTATACTTATTAAATTTTGGGAGAAAATAGTGGACTATACAGTATAAATGTGTGACAAAAGCTAAAATTTTTAGAGGATAATATTCTCTTGAATTACACACCTAGCACATGGAACTTGACAACTGGACAACATAAATGGATTTTCCGTGCCCTTACTATGGTCAAAAGACTGCTATTGCAGCATTGGAAAGACAAATATATGGCCCCATTTATTCAATGGATTGAAGACCTAATTGCACTTGCTACTTACGAGTAGATTTCCTATAGATGTAGACTTCATATGGACAAGTATAATGAAATATGGGACTCATTTATACAAAATACACTGGTTTAAAAGAAAAAAAAATGATAATCATATAACTCTATTAGAAATATATATGTACTTGTATAATATTTGCATTAGATAAGCATATAGAATTGTAACTATTTACTGGTATGATTTTTTTGTTATATTTTTGTTATGATATTAGATAAGCATATAGAATTGTAACTGTTTACTGTTATGATATTTTTTTGTTATTTTTTTGTTATGATAATTTTTTAAAATATTTTTTTCACTTTTATAAAAGTTAAAGCACTTTTATAAAAAAATAAAAATAAAAAGGAAAATAAAGCAATAATTTATAAATATCCAGTATATCCAGTATAGTTAAATACAGTGGTATATGGTCATGAAAAAAAGAAAAAGAAGTAGCTAGTTGAGTCAGAATTACAGATTTATTACTTCTTTATTTTTACCAGGTGCCCCTTGCTGTTCAGCTCAGGCCTCAGCAAAATAATGTAACATTTTGGAGAAAAGATAAAGACCAGGAACCCAGTACTGGAAGCTAAGATGGAGAAGATCTCCACAGCTACCATATATTTTCCCTTGGAGCTCAGATAGGTTGGAAGGAAGGTCAGCCAAACACTGCAAAAAACCAGCATGCTGAATGTGATGAACTTGGCTTCATTAAAACTGTCAGGTAATTTCCTAGCTAAAAAAGCCACAACAAAGCTGAAAGTGGCTAGGAAACCCATAAAGCCCAGGATGCAATAGAACATGATAACAGAACCTTCATTACATTGTAGTATAATTTTTTCAGTCACTGAATGCAAATTGATATCAGGGAATGGGGGAGAGGTGGCCAGCCACACAATACAAATCAGGGCTTGAATAAAGGAGCAAGAATAGATAATGGAGTTAGAGAATCGCTTCCCCACCCATTTCCTCATTCTAGATCCAGGCTTGGTAGCCATGAAAGCAAGAAACACTGTGATAGTTTTGGCCAATATACAAGAAACTGCCATGGTGAAAATCATGCCAAAGGCAGTTTGTCGAAGGAGGCATGTCCACCTTTCAGGCTTGCCAAGAAACAGGAAAGGACAAAGGAAAGAGAATAGGAGGGAGATCAGGAGAATATAGCTGAGATTTCGGTTGTTGGCTTTGACGATGGGTGTTTCTTTGTGTTTCATGAAAATTCCAAGCACCAAAGCTGTGATGAAAGAAAAGCAGAGAGCAAAAGTAGCTAGAATGATCCCCAATGGTTCTGTATAAGACAGAAATGTTATCTCTTTTGGAAGGCATCCATCCTTGTATCTCTTTGGGTATTGTTCTTTAGGGCATTCAAAACAGTCATCTGTATCTGAAAAAGAAGAATGATTCATTCATATCTTTTCACTGTGTTTGTTAAAATCCAAAGCTGAATAATCAGATCTGATATCATGTTGAAGACCCATTGAATCCTTCATAGTTATCATATTTTAAGGAAATCACTTTCCTTAAATACTGTAAAAGAAAGATTTGAAGAAGAAGAAAAGATCTGGAAGGTGCTATTTCTTACCAGAAATAATAACTAGGAGTTATAACTATCCTAATGATCTCTTCTTACACTGAAATACTTTTCAGTGGCCTCCTAAATCTATCCACCCTCTCATAGAGATAGGGAAAATGAAGAAAAAAGTATAAAACCAAAATTGCTTATGCTACTTATACAGTATATCTATTAATGACCTCTTTATCAGTTGATTTTTTGTTCACCAAATTCCTCATAAAAAATAAAAATGGTACAAAATAAACATAAGCATAACTCTTTTTTTAAAAGGAACAAATAAAAAATTAAAATATAGCAAAACAATGCACTGGGAAACAATTAACTTTTCTGAAATAGGTAACAGCTAAGAATGAACAAATTAATGGGCAGCTATGAAAGAAAGCAAGAAAAAAGGAAGGAAGGAAGGAAGGAAGGGAGGGAGGGAGGG